CTTCCTTCCCATCTTGCCATCCATCCCATCGTCCCTTCCATGAATTTCATCCCATCCTTGATTCCTTCCCATCCATGATCCATCCCTCTTGCCCTCGTCGTCCGAACCCGCCCCGCCCTAATGGGTACGTACCTGACCATGGTTACTGTCTAGTTCCATTGCCATCGCCTTCGGGGAATTACTGCGTAGGATTTTCCAAGGCACAGAGAGCAAACAAGACCAAATGATCGACCAAGAGCCGAACAACGAATTAGACGCGCGGTGTTATCATACCATACCACACCAGAGGATCAGAGAGGCATTTCCCTCAGCCCTGGGTCCGTGGTTTGCGGGTACGAATGGATAGCCGCGTCCACTTCTCTCCTCCCCGAATGCCCGAGTCCCCCGACAACGCGCATAGTCTGGACTCTAGGGACCTGCAGCGCTCTCTCTGGAGTCTGCCCACCGAATACCAAGACCGGATCATCGTCATGGAAGGATGAAGAAGCCCGGTAGCTGCAGATGGAGCCAGACATTGCCGCGCTAGAATCTCTCCTCAAACGATGTACTGTGCTGATACGGATACCTATGTGCGTGCAAATGCACCTCTGACCTCAGCAGAGAGCGAGCCATGAAAACGCGCAGAGCCGAAAGTTCAGACGCCGTTTTAAGATTCGTCGATCTCCCCTGGCACTAAACCAATTCGGCCCATCTCGAAAAGCCGAAATGGTGCAGATTCGCGTGTGACGCGCGGGGTTCAGGAGAAAGGAGGGGGTTTACTCGAGTCAATACGGATACTGTCAATCAACTCCCGCGAATGTGACTCCAGAAGATAACCGTACCTTACTGTGATACCTCAGAGGCGGACCGGAAAGCAAAATCTAAGGGGCCCAGGGGCTCGGGAGGGAGGCTGTCATCAGCTAGATAACTCGCACTTCAGCTTTTAAACTCGTGTTTAGTTCCGCCTCCGCCGCCACAAGTTCGGCCGTTTGACCATGACACCAACGACACTTTGTCTCGAAGAGGCGAAGAAGGTAGGCTGGGCTGGGCTGGGTCGGCTAGCTGCCCGTCTGTCTAATGTCTAATGTCTATCGCCCGAAAATTTCGCTTGGCTGCGTCGATTGATCGTCTCGTTGACTGATTGGCGCAAGGGGTAGCGGGAACAATTTGGAGAAGGGGGTTGGACAGTGTTTGTGTTAACACAGAAGGGGGAAAGAAGAAACAATCTGTCACTTGAGACTTTAGTCCGAAAAAGAACTAGAAAATGAGACGAACCGTGATTGAGGCGAGACAAGTCAATCAACTCCTAACTGGCCTCCCGTCGGGCACGCACACTAAAAGCTGCTGTGCATACCTGCAGAGAACGTGTCTGCTGAGGTGTGTTAGCTAATCCATACCTACGAATAAGGCCTGGAATGACACCGAGCACAGTAAGGTTAAAACGTTTAGGCAAACTGTTTTGAAACTTGGGAAACGCACCTTAACAACAATTAACTAAGCTGCCAGGTAAGCTTGAACTGCAAAGTTGTAACGTACTAAACACATAACTGGGCCGAGGGACCCAGAGCCACGCATGTCCCGGCACGACTCCGTAGGTATCAACTCTTGGGTCTTTTCCCACTTTCAACTCCTTGATCCAATGTGCCGGTCTCCAGTTTACCAAGATCCAGAAAGTCCAAGAGTCCAGCCAAGTTCTAGCCCATTCTTCCCATTCTTTTCTCAACTGTGAGTTGTGATGAGTTTTATTCGATTGTACTCCAGCACTCCAGTAATCATTTCCCCAGGTTACATTACAGCGAAAGAAAAAACCACAAAAAAAAGTCTTGTTTCTTCGTCGCGGACCAGTTGGTGACCAGGCGTCACGCCCTGCCAAGAAGCCCACTCCAGATTCCACCAGTCAAGCCTGTCAGGTGTCTCCGTATAACCTGTCCCGAGCCGCTGTTTCGTTTTTGCCAATGAACTATGGGACATTCCACAGGAGACCACGCGAGAAGTGGAAGAAGGGGGGGGGGGAGACACGAGACGAACGCTTTCTCCCTCCCTTTCCCTCCAGCCGCATCCGAATTCCAAAATTCTAAATCCGAACTAACCGACGTCCCTTTTCGTTCCCGATTGGCAAGCTGAATATAGCTAACCATCACACACGTAGCCGCCAGCCGCCCAGCCGCCTTACTGCGTCAAACGTGCATTCTCAAATCTCAATCCTCAGCAGCGTTAGGTTGCTTACTGACTTTTGGGACCGGCCCCCTTGAACATGCCCCCATATGCCCCCCCAACCCCTGAATCAGAACGAAAAGAGGACCAGCAAACGACTGGCTCCCATTCATCGCTGACAAGATCCTCGAAAATCTCGCAGCCCAACCTTGTTCTCCACAGTTTCCGTGGTATCTCTCTCCCAGTCTCCCTTCTTCAATCCATGATCCATGAATCCCTACCTACCTCACTGTGGACTTTCCCTGGTGGCCCGTGGGACGACATCACAGACTCTCACTCACAGAGACAGAGACTGAAAAAAAAAAAAAAAAAAGGGGTGGCCTCTCACCCTCTCTGGAGGACCGGTGTCTAGACTTTCCGACTCGTGGTTCACTGGTCTCTCTGCCCGCCAGAATGTCGCAGAAATCCACCGTCCGCCCGGGACACAGAGTCTCACCGGCAACTCTCATCATCCAGCTGTCAGTCTCAATCACTCCCTCTCTCCCGCGGACCATGACCATGATCATGGACCGTGGTGGCCCGTGGTGGCCCGTGAGTTATGAACCCATAAACCCGTAAGATTCCCACTTTCCATGTGGACAATGCACAATCTCGGAGCGACTCCTCTTACATCTACCTCGCTTCTTTCTTGATTTGATCAAAGTTGTTTAATTATGTTTATCCCGTTTACCGGTTGCCCCCCCTCTGAGCCTCTGCTTGTGTTCACCTGTTCTGCTCTGTTTATCGCGCGCAATTACTGCCTTGTTCCTAGTAATCTATCCATACCTATAACGGTCGAGGCTCAGCTTCGCTGGCAGTGGCCGCTGCACAGGTTTATACCTATCGTGTATAAAGGGATCCATTTTCTGTTGATTATGTTCAAATTGTCCCAGGGTCGTGCTTACCTATTCATCACCGGGGAAGAAAGCCGCGTCCAAAAGGGACAATCCTATTGTTTTCCCTCCCTCCAAGGCTCCACTGGAGACGGCGGGCCCAGTAGACGGTCAGACACGTTTTTTTTGTTTTTTTCATCAACGAGCATTCCAGCACCAAAGAACAATGGGCAGTGAGAATTTGAGAAGTGTAGAGTTTGGTCGCTGGTGAGACAAGGAATCACAGGAATGAACATGATAGAGAATGACTCGGGCACAGGCCGAGCCTCAATGGCATATCCACAGCCCACAGCCGTACGACGGTCCGCAGCCCGAGAGTGCGCGGCGTCCCCAGATGAAATCTTGATTGCAATCCCAATATCAAGCAACTCTCTGCGTACGGTATCCACGTAATGATTAGGTTCGCCTTTCCCGCCCACTCGCCCGTCCCGAAGGAAATAGCTTGTTTGTCTTGCACCGCCCACACTCGCGGGTCTTAGCAACAAGACATACACAGTAACTCGTTCTCCCCTTACGTCTGTGACCTGTCTTGTGTGATGCCTTGCCGCTACGCCGCACCATCTCTGAACTACAAGTTCAACATGCCAAGACAAAACATCTCAGACATTGGTTCGAATCTGAGAAACGTGAAACTGTCCAGTTTCCATAGTGCTTTTGCACTAGTTGTCGAAAGTCAGACACCTTGTTTTGGTATGCACGTGTGCCTCGTATGTGCGCATCCGCGAGAGAGAAAAAAGAGAAAGAGAGAGCGATGGATGTGTTGTGCTGCGCTGCCGCTGCTTGCGCAAAATGATTGCTCCCGTCTTGGCGAAAAGGGATCAAGCCCGCCAACGTAGGTAGGCGAGTTAGATGACGTACGTCATGTCGTGGCCGTTTGTTGTGTACTGCTACTCTACGGATGGGCTCGAATCCTCGATAACCAACAACTGCCTTGACCTTGCATCTTATGTCTCAATCTGTCAACTTTGGTCCGAGTTCCTGAAATGTCTCTGATCGGGCTACCTGAGCCGACGATAGATGATACGATTCAGTTTCCCTTGCTCGGCATCACCGCCATGCTTGACCCATACAATTTGACCAGGTGCGTTCGGTAAACAACCACGCCGTGTTTGCGTCGGCCTCTTGGTCAGGACAAGCTGACATGTTCGAGACCGTGGACGCTGTCTGAGGGGGGAGTAGAGGATAATCTCAACTCCGCAAGATGTGGTTGAGATGTTATCGTGTACTGTTCACCAGGTATCCCCCCACTACACGAGGACGCCCGCTAAGCCGTGTACTGAAATGCACCCGTCTCTATATCATGTTGTCTATGATTTGCTCGTGCAAACTCCTCACAGCATTCATGCGGCGGAGTCAATTGTCAGGTGCCACGACTGTACTAAGCGCAACCACACCAGCCAACCGCAGCTTGTTACGAGAACATCACATCGGACGGCTTGAAGCATCAGGGTGAAAGAACTTTGGTGGCAGAGAGGAGAGGTTTCTTCGTGAATCAAAGCCCGATGAGGGAGGAGCGGTTCTAGAGTATGACAGGAGCAGAGACGAGGAACGGGCGAGACTCATCTCACTCGCCCCCGAGTCTCGCTTTGTCACCCTTACTTGGGCTCATAGGCCCCTTTGCCCGTCTTCTAAGCAGTTCCCCGACTTCTCCTTCGCGGAAGCTGAATCACACCTACTATTACACCAGACTCCCCAAAAAAGTCTCTATGCGAAAGGCCGAACCTGTCACTCCCTCCATAATACAGTTTCCCAATGGTCATCGGTTGAATATTCCAGGTAAATTGAATACTGGGCGGGGAGTTATACACCCTCCCTTACTTCGCTCTCATTTTTGGAGTTTCTTTTGATACACGGTATTGTACACACGCCAAAGACCTCGTGGGTATCTTTTACACTTGATTTTGTTGGAGTCGTTCTTGGCAGATTTCTCTCTCTTTATGACTCGTTGATCTTGGCGAGGATCCTGGGTGAAGGTATTTGCGTTAGTTACCTTTTCATCTTTGGTAATACAAATTGAATAGCTTTCTAGCTGAAAGGTTTGTGTGGTGAAGGAATGTTGTAGACTTACTCGCTGTCACGGAAGAGGTGGTACTCCTCCTCACCGACCTTGACCGGGGAGCCGCCGAACTGCAACGCATACCGTCAGCACATCGGATCCAAACGTTTACATGTTCAACCTGATCGTCCATCCTGTCTTCACCCGCCCCCATCGTCCCATTACTCTAATTCCACTTCCGCCGACATAATGCGGGGCAACAAGTATCAAGTAAAGGAGTTCCGGGCCCTGCACATTCCCGACTCTGCACTGCCTTCACAGACTGGTCACAGAAGCAAGAAACCAGAGAAGCGGGGAAGATCGATGATTGGCGCCGTAGTTGATGTTGCCATCAGGGTCGGAAACGTACCTGGGGGATCAGGACACGGTCACCAGAGGCAACGCCCATGGGTAACCGCTTGCCATCTCTGTCGAGGGCACCGGGGCCGACGGCGAGAACCTTGGCCTCGTTGAGCTCCTTGACGGAGGACTCGGGCAGGAAGATGCCGCTGGCGGTCTTGGTCTCGGCCTTGACGCGCTGGACGAGGACGCGGTCGAGGAGGGGCGCGAGGGCGCGGATGGAGCGGAAGGAGGCAGACTACAATGCGTCTTGTCAGCAAAAGGGCTTCGTCAGATGCTGCATTGTTGTCAATGGCGGCAGACAATGCCAAGGGTCAATAACGGGGTGCCCGTCGTGCGGCCGACTTAAGGGGAAGGCTGCTATCGGGATTGCTGCGTCAAATTGCGGGTTGCCAACGTACCATTGTGACTGTTGAGATGGGATTGACGGCGAGAGCGGCAACTTTGGTCTGTTTGAAGGGATTGGGCGGATGACGATCGGTAAAGTACAGAATCGATACGGGGGGACGAACTTTAAGCCTTGAAGCTATTCCAAGAGCTTCCAGAATGTCAACAATTTTTTGGGCCGATCGGCCAAAGGATTTCCCGACAGCCCCACCGTGGTATACCCCTGGATATCGTCCGATTGGCTGCATATGCCGAGGAAGAAGGATGTACTTACCAATCGACCGTATCGCATTCGACGTATGGACACAGACCATCCGTGAACGAAGATGAGTTCCTACCTTGACATACCTACTTTAGAACGGGATACCCCTTGGCATCACTCGATCACGATCGGCTAGGTCGACATATTGAGTCTTTTCTGAATAGTATTATCTACCTATCTAATTCAATCGCTTGATCCAAGGCCGTGAGCGGAGCCGCAGCAGCATCTACAAAACCTCAAGACGGACTCCGATACCACCCAAGCTCCAATATCATCGCTGTATCCCCAATCACAAGGGGCTCATGTCATTCCAAATGTCTCCCACACCTTGTCCCATTCCAAAACCCCATCTACAACCGGTTAAACGCCTTTCGGACATGCAATTTGTGGTGACCGCGCCCGTGCAGTGACCCCTACTTCGGGGGCTGTGGTGGCTCAAGAGTGTGAATATGATCCTCTGCATGTACAACGCGGCCTGGCTCGGGTTGTTGACAAATAACTGTGTTGGCAACCCAGGGCTCATCGAGAATTTCTTGCATCGTCGCACGATCCTTCACCTTGATCTCCAGCATGCGACCAATGATGTGACGGCTCTCGCGAGGTAGCAGGCGCAAGATCCTCCAGGGACCTCTTATGACCTCTTTCTTATCTGCAGGTTGCTGGCCGTCGGCCTTGGTCGAAGCCTGCGTCGAGCTTCCCTCGCCGTCTTTGGGAACATTCTTCTGGTTCTCCTTTTGGTTATCCCCCTGGCTTTCTTTCGGCTCGTGCTTGTGAGTATGATGCTTTCCATCCTCGAAAATATCTCTCTGAGGAGTGTTGGAGAGGTCGTTGGCAGACTTGGATGGCATAATCAGCTTTTTGGGGTCGTGTCCTGGTGTTGGCTCGGCGGCGAAAAGCTTGAACGAGTTGTCTGTCATGCGAGGGACCTTCCACGGAAACCTGCGCAATGTCATACAGCAAAAGATAATTGCCAATGACCAAATATCGACCGCTTGGGGATCATATTTTCGTTCGTCGTAAACTTCAGGAGCCAAGTAAGGATCGGAGCCCACGATACCTATAATCAATTAGCCAATGTGTAGAAGCCAATTTGAATGAAAGGCTTACCTGAAGCGAGGACAATGTCACTCTCGAAAGGATACTTATAAACGTGGGCACTACCAAAGTCGATGATTTTCATAATCCCATGCTCACTGACCACGACGTTGTCAAGCTTCAAGTCCCGATGGGCAAGACCCATGCTGTGTAGATATGTCACACCGTTGAGGATCTGCAAGAAGCAGCAACCGACCTCCTCTCGTGTCATCTTGCCAGTCATGACACATGCGAAAAGGTCAAACGGAGCGTACTCCATGACCTCGTACCACTTGCCCTTCTCCTGCAGAATATCCAATGTCTCGATAACATTACCGTGGTGTAGAGTTGAGCCAACGCAAAATTCAGCCGTCAGCTTCTTGACGTACTCTTTCTCGGTTTCGTAAGAATGTCTTGGTCGGAATTCCTTCACGGCGAAAACGACACCATCATCGCTGCGCTTCATCAAACGTACAGATCCCCCAGCACCTGATCCAAGAACTCTGCCAAGCTTTCCGTATTTTGAAGTCAGTCCGTGATCGTCTCCGAAAGGAACATGTTGCGACCCTCTGGTAGGGGGCGTTTTGGTGCCCGATCGAACCGATGATGGGGAGGCTTCCCTCTTCATCTTGTGATGTCCGCCGACCTTGAAGAACCTCTTCAGGTCGGCAAAGGAGCCTTGTCTGCTCGTGATGCTAGCCGAGTCATCGTGAGGGACCTGCAGCTCGTCGCCATGTCCCTTCATGCCCAAGAGCCCGGAGTGTCGTTTGTCGCTTGCTCGGCCCAGACTTGAAGTAGAACCAGATGGCGACGACCCGTGCTTGTTCTTCCGGCGCGAGAAGACAAATCTTGAATCGATCTGGCCCCGCTGAGGGGCCGGAGCCGGTGGTTGACGTTTGTGAGCCGCATAAGGGTCGTTGGCATCTCCGCCTGGCGTCATCGGCTTAGAGTAGTACAATGAGGCCCGAGATGGACTAGATTCTCGCGAAACCGGCACTGATCCTCCAGGGCCAACAGAAAACATTCCCCTCCTATGCGACCTCGTGTCGTGTGATTGGTCTTCTGCCGAAGCTGATCGTTGAGGTACCTCCTCCGTCGACTTGCCTCTGACGGGTAACTCTTTCCTAGTCGATGATGGTGGTGAGTCCTGGGAGGACGAAGCCTGCGGAGTGATGACATGGGGGTCGCTCGTGGATGACTTGCGATCGTCATTTTGATCTCTACTCTTCCTGGCTGTCGGGTCTGAGGGATCGGTCCCCGCCGGGGTCAGGGGAGGTGACTGCATCGGATGCGCCGGACCAAACCGCGGCGATTTCGGTCCGCTGGAGTTCGGGGTTGGCAGTCGACTGTTGTCGGATTCCTCCTCTCGTGAGCCAACCTATAGGTGCCGGTAGTTAGTGAGAAGCAAGTTGTGCAGGCTGGTGCGTGCAATGCAATGGCCGAGTGATGTTGTCATGACAGGTTGGGGGGTAAGTGGGATGAGCTTGAGACTGATCATTAGAGGTTCCGACGAAGAGCTCCATCGAGAAGAAGCCTCAGATGATTATAGCGAAGACGAGGTGAGATGTTTGGGGAAGACAAGTCTGACCGTCGAGGCAGTGTTGGATGGGTGGAGGGGTAGGTATGAGACTTTGAAACACAAGGCATCAGGGCGGACGCCCAAGCCAACAAGAAACAACTTCAAGAAGCTCCGAGACCACGCATAAACTGAAGAGTTATGACGGAACAGACTACTTACGCGTGATGCAGGTAGTGAGTATGGTTCGAAGCCAAAGACGTTCATCCGGCGCTGCTGCAACGGTGCACCTTGGAGGGACTTGGAGAGAGCTCTAATCTGATCGGGCGTGACTTCGGCCAAGGTCTCTTCGCCGTCTCCGGTAGCGGCGTCGGTGGGAGAAAGAGTCTCGGTAGGTGATGTCGTGGTGACGGTTGGCGTTATCTCTTCGACGGAAGAAGCGAAGCGGACGGCGGGAGCATCTTGAGGGGGCATCTTGTCGTCTTTGTGGATATTTGGATTATCTGGAGGATTGTGGGTGATTTCTAGGCATTGCGCATAGCGGTCAGCACAAGGGGATCTGCGTTGAGGATAAGATGCAGGCTTGGGGCATGAGCGTATGTGTGAGGGTGAGCGTGGACGTGGGACATTGGGCGAGTGAGTGTTTGTTTGACTGTGACATGCGCAACAGACGAACCGAGGGCGGGGTTGCGCGCGCCGGAACAGACGGAAGGATATGGCGTTTGTACCTGGGACTTTGACGTCCTCTTTCTGAGGATCGCGGGCCGGAGACGGGGTAGCCATGGGCTTAGCTGGAGCTGCGGACAGTGACTATTTGTCGTCTGCAGCTTCTCTGGAGTCGAAAAAGGACGATGATGACAGCAGATGGCGGGGAAGAGGAGCGAGAGGAAAGAAAACCAAGACCAAACGACGACAACACGAAGGGCCGGGCTTGGGAAAGAGAAAAGTACGGATACCCAGGACTAGGTGGATGAGTGAGGTGTGGATGCCAATTGCGGATGGTGGGGCACTTTGAGATGCACTAAGACTAAGAGTCAATGGAAGTACCTAATCATTGCGTACCTGATGGGAAGGTACTGGTAGAATGCACGGCATGGGTACAGACTACGGAGTAGACGTTACAAAAAATCGAAGGTCCTTGCCGGAGGATCTCTCCCTGTCCTGTGATTTGACACATATTGTTCAATAACGTTGTCACATGCTCTAGGGTTCTCATCTCACGTCTTTTTCTCTATTGATTTGGCACAAGACTTGTATGAACAGGCAAAGAATGAGATCACCTGAAGAGATCTTGCCGGTATGTAGATACCGGGACCCGAGGGGAAAATATCAAAGTGACAGCCCGAACCCGGTGCAAATACGTGTCGCGAAATCTCGAGTGCGCTGTTCACGGGTCCGTCTGACCTCCCGTAACCCGTGCCGAGCAAGGTACTGTAATATGGAAGGTATTGTACGTAGTATACCAAGGTAGGAGGGTCAGCAAGTACACGATACTTCTGCTAAGTGAGTGAGCTTGAAAAGGATGCAATCTGAATGGTCAACTAGATCGTTATCCATTCCTTATCGGGGAAGCGGCGGACTGGATAAGACACGGTGACATGGCACTGGAGCACCAGGGCCGCCGAAAGGGAGCCGAGAAAAGGGAAGGGGGGCGCTACTGGGCTGGAGACTGGAAGTGTTTTTTTTATTTTTTTACGGCTTGGAGCCTTGGAGACGGCTTGGGAACGGGAGAAATACTTGGCAGTACCCCCAAAAATCATGGATGCATTGCGCGTATCTGCATCAGGAACCCGGCCCAAGGAGAGAAGGCCCTTGCCTGCCCTGCCCGCATAGCAGCTCCTGCCTGTCCCTGTGGTGATCGGAATATTATATTTTTTCTACCTCTTGACCAGCCGGTTCTAGTGTTCTGAACTTGTCCGTCGGTCATCGGCTTTTTCCAAGATCCCTCTCGAAAGTGCCTTCACCTCAGACCCCCCGTCTTCAAAGTGCTCCTAATTTGCGCCGGGGGGTTTCTCGGCTTCGCATCCGTGACACATGCGACAGCTGTGAGGCGTTATTATTCGGCGGCTCGGCGGTACCTTTTGGTAACATTTTAATCGTTTTTACGAACCTCGCAGCACACCAACGAAGACTCATCCATGGATGTTGATGGTTTTTGCCTGCTT